ACCCGACATTTGCTTTGTGTAAAACATCCCCGAGTGTTGTGGGCGGGGAGATGGGGTCGGGGAGGGACAGAGACGTGGAAGATTACTTGTTAAGAATCTTAAAGTTTCTTCAGGGACAGTTCTTTTCAAAATCTCGTTTGGTTTGCTGTAAAATGAAGCAATTTGTCACTGAACAGAAGTAAAGTGCTTCTGACCTTTAGCAGAGACAAGACACTCATCAAATGCCAAATACTTTTACTGTCTTCCCCTCCCCCTCTTTATTGTAAAAATACGACAAATGGTGCACAGACTAATCACTTAGAAAAACAAGCCGTCAGGGAGGGCTTTCTGCAAAGCTGGATAGAAACCTTCATACTAATGGCAATGTCACAAACAAGTGGCAACGAACTCAAAGTCACTTCCTTGGTATAATTTTCAGTGACATTAGAAGAGCTGAAGCTCAGCCTGCAGGTGGCTTAAACAATGTTGCTCAGCAACAACACTTACACTTACACACACACAAACACACACTGACAAACTGGGGGTTAATTCTGCACATTTGTGATTCAGGACAATATTTCTCTCTCCTTCTCTGCTGCATGAAGGGAACTGAGTTGGTGACAGGTGTACATGCTATTTGGTATTCTTTTGAAATGATAGTAATAAAAAGGGTCCACATAGGCAGGTACACAAGTACATTGTTACAGCTGAGAATGACAACATGAAATATAGCAGCCATTTTTCTCTGGAGAAGAGACGCTTATAAATTTACTTGGTCCAAAGTATCTCTCGCTTCAGCAATATATCAAACTGTGCAGCCCCATCAGTCTGAATCAATTAGAAATTACTCACCAAGTAAATTACACTGAAAAGCTTTGATTTGTTACCGGAGTTTGTTACCGTTCTCTTCAATCTTAAAAGACTGAAAGCAAAAAAGTAATAACGTGACAGTGATAGTGAAATGTAACTTTTATTGAGATAGATGGGAACCTATTTGCTACAATATTTGCTTTTAATAATTTAATTTTTCAAACACTGCAGAGAGTGCCATAAATATTTGATTATGAAGCTTTTCCAATTTATGGTACATTAGTTTGCACTGGTTGCCTATCTTTTCAACATTCTTATATATCACTTAATAATTCTATCAACCATATGTCCATAGCCAGTTCTTAGTTTGCCTTCTAATTGTGTTTTTTAACTTTCATCTGTTAGGCTGTTTCTGACGTGCATTTCAGGCAATGAAACAAATTGTAAAATGATGACTCCTTTTATGAAATTATCATTTAATTATTGTTTAGATCTCTGATGTCAGCTTTAATTTTTATTTTATTTTTCTAAAAAAAGGCTTAATCTTTCTTGGGTTAAAGTCAATAGCAAAACTCACGTTGACTTCTGCAGGAGCAGGATCGGGTCCCTTTTTCACATTAATCTTTACAGCTGAGGGGTTCGTGGCATTTCAGTGCTAGCTGATTTTGAAATAGAAAATTTCCTTTTACCCACAAGACGTGTCATAGGCACTATGAATAAGAATAGTCCATATATGTAATTTAGACTACATCTGTCTGGATATGTGTCTGTCAACAAGTCTGTTTGTTCAAAAACTTCTTCTAAATGGTAAGAGCGAGGGCCAACAAATTTGGTTGGCAGCTTCCCCTTCTTCTCACTTAAAGCAAGGCCATTAGGGTTTGGTTGTGCCAGGTCAACTGGACGCACCAGGAAAAGGACTCTTTTCCATAACATGCAAAGGGAGGGAATGCTGTTTGGAGGGATGCAACATGAGAGTGGCCACTGAGGACAGCCAGCCTGCAAGAGAGAGCTATCCTGCAGAGTGTCCACAGTGGGGACACCTGTACCTCCAAGGGAGTAGCCAGCTGGGCTGGGGCTCCACCATCTTGCCTGCCAGCACACTGGGTAAGTAGCCCCCCTGCCCCAAATCCTTCCCTGGCTCCCAGCCCTTGGCCACAGTGGCAGAGGGGAGGGAGAAAAAAGACTCCTAGTAGCTAGGGGAAGGCGAGAGGGAGAGAAAATGCCCCTCGTGGTGGTGGTGAGGAGTTGGGGGAGAGAAAACACCCCTGGTGGCTAGGGGGAGAGAAAATGCCCTGATGGCTGAGGGAGGTTGGAGGGGGAAGAAAATGCCCCTGGTGACCAGGAGGAGGCTGAGGAGACAGGAAATGTTCCTGGTGGCTGGTGGGGAGATTGGGGGGAAAGAAATGGCTTTTGGGTGGCTTATCTCCATGGGGACCATTAGGCATTGGTCATTTTTGGAGATGTAATGACACCATTGGTCTTTCCCAGTTCTTCTGGTCATGTGTGGAAAGCAAGTGAGTGAGCTCCCTGTCTCTGCTTTCCAGATGGTTTCAGCCATATCCAAGTGTAAACAGAAATGAGCATTGAAACAGCTTCCACATCAGGGTCCTAAACAGACAAAGAGACAATTTGTTCCTCACCATTGAGTGGACTCTGTTGGTTTCTCTTGTACTGCTTGGCTGGGTGTTAAACTAGGATATTGTACAGATGCCAGCTGCAGATTTTCTAGTAAGATACATTAACGTCCAGAAAACCTTTGACAAATAGGGTGTCTTCGAGCTGAATTACTTTACCTAGTACCTGGCAAAGACTTCGGGTGCCAGAGAGGTCAGCAAGAGAAGATTAATGTCCTAACATTCCTGACCCTGGTGTTCTTAACTGAAGATTAAAATAAGCAATTTAGCATAACATGACTGCAACATCGTACATGATTGCAAATGTGTTCCAAAAGCATTTCTGACAAAAGGTATCGTCAGTAAATGTTAGCTTCTAAGGTGCGTCAGTTCTGGAGAAAATGGCTTAGAAAATGAAAAACAATGCACATGAAATCAGGCAGGTTGAGATCTTTTAAAGGCTAGTAAGTAAATGGCAAATGTAGTTCAAAGAGTGTAGGTGAAGAATGAGTCATTATTAATGACCAAGGGCATTGGTTATTGGTGCTGAATGGAAAAAAAAAAACAATTATTAAGTTTGAAGCTTTACACTTGTGGGAGAGCGAAAATTATATGCAATCCCTGCTAAGTGCCTGATTTTGCTGCTAGAAAATCCCTCTGACAGAAACTCACTTCAAAGTAAACTACTTTAGAATTTCTGTGCACTGCTGGATGCCTAACCAAAGGTCACTTTTCCTCGGAGTGTCTCTGTGCATCATTTTAGTGATTTTTCTTTTTTGAGCCCCCTACCTACCCCCCTTTTTGCAGTTTACATAGATTTTTCTAGATCTCAAAGGAGCTAAACTGAAAATTGGAGAACCGGGTTTGGGCTTGAAATGCAAAAGCAGGAGCCTGTAGTGATTTAAAATGAAGATGTTTATTCATTATAGACCTTACCCTGCAACATGCAGGTCTCCCTCCTGCGCCATTGAACTCAGTGCGTGTAGAGAGACTGCGGAGTATGAGCCTCAGGTGTGAGCCATATTGGGAGCTGGATTTCAAGCCCTCTGTATTTCTCCCACGCAGAGCCCAAATACTCAGAATATTTACCCTTTCCCCCTTTCTACAGCAAATTCTCTTAAACAGAATTTACTGAATGGAGCCATCAGAACTGTCCCTAATAAAAATCTCTCATCGGGGAAGGCTTTTTCTTAGAGTGCTGGAATTCTTGCTTTAACATCTCTGCCTTTCAATGCCTTTATTAATCTACTTGTCAGGTAGAGCAGCGTGATGCCAAGACCCAGCCGAACGCTGAAAAGGAATGGCTTGCCATGCTTCACTCTTAACATTTCAGTAATGGAGAGAAACACAAGTGAAGCAGCCGGGAATGTTTTGAACAAGAGAGAAGGCATTGCATAGGAGGTAATGGGCAAACCTCTGCTATCTTGTGACTTTGGTAGAAACCAAGGACCAGATTTCCTGGGATGCATCTAAAGGCTTCATCTACACTGAAGCGCTATTTCATTCCCCCTCTTTTGAGCATGCCCGTTATTTCAAAATATAATGGGCTTGCTATTCCGATGTCCCTGTAAACCTCATTCCATGGGGAGTAACAGACATTTTGGAATAGGGATTTTGTTTGAAATAAGTGCTGTGTAGACAGCGCCAAATTTCAAAATAAGCTATTTCGAAATTGACTCAAAATAAGCTGTGCAATTTGTGTGGTTCAACTTGTGTAACTTTTTTCGAGCTAGGAGTGCAGTGTAGATGCACCCAAATTGTATAGGGCACCTGTAGTTCTAGCAGGGGTGCTATCCATGGACAGAGAGGAAGGAGCTATATTTGTCTTTCGGAGAACCATAAAACAACAAAAACAAAAGTCTTCATGAGAGAACATACAGTGGCTGCTCTCTCAGGCTATGTCTACACTACAGAGTTTTTTCGGAAAAACGGCCATTTTTCCAAAAAGCTCACGGAGCATCCATACCTCAAGTGCGTTTTTGTGCAAAAAAATTAAAATAACAGAGGGGTTTTTCTAGAGTAGGTATTCCTCATTCTACAAGGAAGAATGTCTTTTTGCGAAAGAGCTCTTTCTCAAAAAAGTGTGTGTGGTCAGGGAACAGAGGTTTTTTGCGCAAAAAGAGTAAAGAGGAAAAAGCGCAGATGCCCTGGTGGCCATTCCATCCATAGCAATCAGAGTTTACTTTCGAGAGAGCGTCCACGCAGTCTGGATGCTCTCTTTCACAAACTCAAAGCGGCTTGCTCTTTCAAAAGTTCCGCATGCAGTCTAGACGCTCTCTTTCGAAAGAGCCTCTTTTGAAAGAGGCTTGCAGTCTAGACATAGCCACAGTGTGCACTGAAATGAACTCAAAATGGTGCCTGACTCAAACTGCAGAAGAGCAGAAAACAACATATGGCAGATGTTAGAATGCAGCTTAATGAACTACTGGAAGGCAAAAGCCTGGGATAAAAACTTGCATGGAATCCTCAGAGATTTAAAGTTCCAGTACAGAGAAAACAAAGAATTACATAGCTATGCACACAGCCATTTGGACCCCAGAAATATTGAGTAGAGACATGAAAAGTGAAGGGTTTTTAGTCACCTCAGAGGGACTGTACCTTCAAGTGCAGCCAGGAATGTTACTGAAGTTCAGGACATAGCAAGGAGCAGCTGGTGGGAAGGCTCACCTGAGAAAAGCAGAGAAAAGGTCTTTGTAAGTATCTGGAGGGAAAGGAATTGGAGCGGACCAGGGCTGAAGTTTGGGAGGTTTCAGAACAGTCCCGCCCTGCGAATGCTGGCTTTTTGTGAGATGTTATCAATTCTCAGGGAGACAGAGGTGAAAGGGTTTTCCATAGTAAAAGATATTTGGAAAAAAAAATCCAGCTCTCGTTGCTGGTATGAAATTAAATTTGAGGATGGACTCAAAGCTGCAGAGAACAAATGAAAAGGTCTGATCCCAGAAATATCAGGTCAGGAATAGGACTAACCTCTGAGGTTCTGGTCTTTGGGGAGGCAGGAAAACTCTTTAAATGTTAGAAAAAAATCCAGCAGTTGTCTGAAGGTGAAGTTACAAGTAAATTGCATTGTGAATCCCAAAGGTTGCCGAGGCCTCTATAGCAAGGAAATCACCAGGGCAGGGGGGCCTTAAGGGAGTAAGATAGAAGTGGGCATGATGAGAGGACAATGAAGGCAGATGAATTCCAGCACCGAGCAAAAGCAAACACGCCTCTCACCCTGAGGTTTGCACATGACTTACGCTCATTGACACAAGATTTAGTATATTCCTTAATGAGGACAAAAATTTAATTAATACATGAAGAAAATAATTTTGATGCTTATTAAAAAAAACCAAAAGACTGCCTTATGTTGCCTTATAAAGAAGTGAATGTGTCTCTCCCTTCAAACAGACAAGAGTTTGGCTGAGGAAATTGGTTGTGCCAAACACAAGTGTGATTTTCAGACATGCAGATTGGATGCGATGTGACATACTTGTCTAAAAATCCGTGGTGGGTTCAGGGATGGGAGCGATACAATGTTTGCTTTCTTTTTTCTCCCCCCCCCCCCCCCCATCCCCATCTTCAGAAATATGGGGCCATATTCACCCCGGGCCTTAATTCAAATCTATTGGACGTGACTCTGCTCTGTTTGTATCAGTGTGTAAAATGGAGGCAAGCAAGAGGGGAATCAAACTCAACTGTGACTATCATGGGTCTACTTCTGAGCACCAAAGAACTCAAGGGAGGTGGTTGCCATAGGCAGGAAAGTGCCTTCCACATGCAGACCAGGACCTACTGTACCAACTGCAGTGGAATCTCAGAGAATCCATGTCAAGATTTTACAACACCGGCAGCACACACTGGTGCAGGACTTTGGGAGTTTTAATTGGGACTATGAAGACACAAGGCCAGACATGTTATGTTCAATAAAGCAGTAAGTTTTTACTTCAGAAATGAATGTTATTTTAATATAAGCCCTCCAGAAGTCTGAAACCCAAGAGCAGAGTACGGGGATGACAAAGCTACCCCTACATACATGGGGAGAGCAGAGATATTAATGACCTTAACGGCATACTGTTTCAAACATTGTGGAGGAGCAAACATATACTTTTCCATGGGTTAATATAATCAGCAGCTGGTAGATTTCAGAGGATTATCTCCAATCATTTGAGGAGAAATTTCCCTTGTGGGCATAATAAAAATTGTTAATATGTTGCTGCTGTTTTATTCAAGGTGAAAATTTTACTTTAATCACTTTCAAATAAATGAGAACCTCTACTATCACTCCCTTTTAATAACGCCAACGGAAATAGTTCACACTAAATCTAACATAATGAACACAGCATGTTCATAGAGAACCAAGTGTTCCCCTTTAATCCATAATTCCTTTGGAACTATATATTATGTCCACATGCACACCAAAAAGAGGTTTATGATTAGTGTTATTTTAATGAATAATAGAAGACTTGATGATGATTTGACCCAAAGATATTTGTCTTTTTTTATATGTACATGAAGATTTTGTTGTGGGGTACTCATAGGGAGTGTCTACACTACGGCGCAAATTCGAAATAAGGTATTTCAATAGCCCAATTTCAAATTAGACCACTATTCCGACAAGTCCTTTAATCCTTGTGGAACGAGGTTTACTGGGATGTCAGAATAGCATGCCCGTTATTTCGATTACATTTCAAAATACCAGGTGTGCTGCCAAGACACGGAAAACACCATTTCAGGAAAACTCCGGTATCTCGAAATAGTACCACAGTGTAGACATGCCCCCTATATAGTGCAATGGGGCACTGCACACTGACTAGAATGGGAACAAGTTTGCAAAGTCATCAAGCAATGTGAATATAGAAATAGGTGAAGCTGGTAATGAATGCAAACTTTGAGTGCCCTCAATTATCCCAGAATTCTTTGCTTATCTATGATGACCTATGAAATGTATTACATTTGGTACATATAGGCTTAGAAAAATGGAGCTAGTAGGACTAATTCTGATCTCACACTATTGATTTTTGTTACTTTTGATTCAAGATCAAAATTGGGTTCATGCTTAGTGACTAGGAATCCTGGTTTTCATTCCTGCCTCTGAGCCAGCTCCTCAGCTGATGTAAAATTCAATGAGATCCAGAGAAGTTAATGGAACTATGCTGATTTACACCAGCTGAGGCTCTGAAGTCTAATTCTCTATGGGTATGTCTACACTACCCTCCTAGTTCGAACTAGGAGGGTAGTGTAGACATACCCATAGAGAATTAGACTTCAGAGCCTCAGCTGGTGTAAATCAGCATAGTTCCATTAACTTCTCTGGATCTCATTGAATTTTACATCAGCTGAGGAGCTGGCTCAGAGGCAGGAATGAAAACCAGGATTCCTAGTCACTAAGCATGAACCCAATTTTGATCTTGAATGTGCCTATTCCGAACTACCGGTACACCTCGTTTCACGAGGAGTAACGGTAGTTCGGAATAGGAACCCTAGTCCGAACTACCTAGTTCGAGCCCCGTGTAGCCGCGCTGCACGGGGTTCGAACCAGCGGGGATTTAAAAATGTCGGCTCCCCGCTTATGCAAATGAAGCCTGGGAAATTCAAATCCCGGGCTTCATTTGCAAGTGCGGTATGCCTACATTACCCTCCTAGTTCGAATTAGGAGGGTAGTGTAGACATACCCTTTGTGACTTGGGGCTTTCAAAAAGGATGGGCAATTGTAGATCCAATTACTTATGTATGAGTTGGAATTTCTCAGTATCAGAGTATTGTTAGATCATCTCTGGGAAAATTGTTACCACGGTAGTCTAAATGCACAATGAGACACCATAAATACTTTCTACAAATGCCTTGATGATGGGACTGGGGTGCAACATATAATTTTGTCCGGCAGTGTTCCCGCTAATTGTTCTTCCATGTGCAGAATAAATTTTGTTATGTGCACCAACTCATGTGCAGATGTACACCACCAAGAGAAACACATGCTGCTAGCTGTGGGAGGTGGTGGGCACTCTGCTATCTCCTGTGCAGCTGCCCAAGCACTACTGGGAACACTGCTATTCGGGATTGTGGCACATAGTGGGTAAAACAGCATCTGCCATTCACTAGGTGCCTTGAAGATTTTCTTATTCAGCAGTAGCTCTAGTCAAATCAGCTTGGCTCATCTTTTCATGAATGCGACAAGAGGGAAAGGAAGCTGTGCTGTGCAGTAATAGTGCCTCCCAAGGTGGAAATAATGCTGTATCCAACTAACCTGTTAATGAAAACCCTGTGGTAGCTGTTAAGCACCATGGACAGAAAGGTGTCTTTAGTCCGGGCTCTGTGGGATCCCTCCGTGAACATGCCAACACCCTGTGACTATCACTAAAATTTCACCCTCTCCCCTGCCAACTGTCTCCCTCAGGAATCAGTGTCGAACCTCCTCTCAAAACACTGCAATGAGAAGTACTGATAAGAAATGATTTCAGAAAGAATTTAAGCAAGGGCTTTCTCATTGGCATGAGCTTCCCAAAGAAGAGTGACACAAAGCAATCGACAGGGGTTCATCTCTGCTCCAAGCTATAATGGCAGGTATTTAGATCCCAGCGTCTGGCTGGATTTTGCCACCAGTGAGTCTGGATGTAACTGGGAGCAAGTTATGACCCACCTTCCTCAACAGCAGACCCCAGGGCAAGGCAGGGAGCATCTTTGTGCTCCCGGGAGGGGTGGAGCCTCTGGCGGAAGGGGAAGGGCTGAGGGCAGCCAGCCATTAGTGCTGCCCAGAGACCACAGCACCCTCCCACCCCCCGTCCCCAAGCCAGACATTAGAGATGCCCGGAGCATGCTGTGTGGCACTCCAGTGGTGATTTAAAGGGCCTGGAGCTCTGACTGCTGCTACTGCCTCAGAAGCAGTTACCAGGGACCCTGGGCCCTTTGAATTGTTGGGCTCCAGAGCAGTTGTCCCCTCTGACCTCCATCAGTGGGCCTCAACGGTCCTGCTGTTGGCTCACGCGGTGTTGTCCTACACCTGCATCTGTGAGGTCCCATCTGTTGCCATGGCAATGAATGTGATGCCATGAATGCCTCACATGAGGACTTGCCTGGAGGTTTAAATGCAAAGAAACTACAACACGTTGCACAAAAAGCAAGTCCAAGCTCAACTGTTCAGTATGATGGACGGGAACCGGGGCCAGCCCTCTGTGGTATGGCGAGACCTCAACTGCTCCTGACATCAGTGGGATTTGAGGTTGTTCAGCACCTTTTAAGATCAGACTCAATCTGAAACAACATTCATGCTGACAAACCTCTCTTCACTCAGGGATGGGTTTTGAATCCCTGATAATTATTTACAATGTTTCTCCAAACCCTTAACCTAGTTACACTCTTTATTAGGGAATTTGGACCTTCTTCTATTCCCAGGCAGTTCCTTGGTTTAATCCAGGGCCTTCAAATGAAATGTGTAATTAGAGGCAATGCCAAACCAAATCCCTATGTCTGAACTGCCTCCTTTTTGGGGGAAATGCTGATCTGGATGTGACCTTTGTATCTTAGACCCATCTGGTTTTCAAATAATCCCACGCTACTGGATTGGCGACGAGAAAGTGCATGTTGGGTGATTTAGTTAATATTTCATTGTGAACCATCAGCTGCCAGCCTCCCATCAGATTAGCTCCAAATCTAAAAAGAGTAACAGGCACCTGATACATTTGTCCCTCATCTTTTATAGACAGGTGCTGAATGGACAGCGCAAGGCAGGAAGACAGATTATTCCAAAAGACCTGTTTTTCTTTAAAGAAATGAGTAAGACACTTTGTTTTCTATCCCCCTGTGAATAGTCAAGAGGTAGATCCACAAGGGCTACCGCAGTTTGCGGGCTGCGATGGTTATTGCCATTTCCAGAAATGCCATCTCTGAGAGGCCCTAATTTCACCATCAGCTACCTCAGCACTGCCATTTCGCCTTCACTGTTTCACCATCAGTTCTTTCACGATCACCTGGTAGCATCTGCTGTGTCAGCATCATCTGTTTCAGCATCGGCGTGTAACCATCAGCAGTGACACCATCTGTCACTGCAGTATTAGCATGGCAGCACTTTTGTGCTTTAAAAAACCTGCACCCTTTTCTTAAATCCTGTCGGCACCCCCCCCCCCCCTTGACGGGGGTTGCCACCCTCCTCCAGGGCATCATCCAACCAGCTTAGGCCTCAGCCTAAAGTGTGGTGCCCCTTTTTAGGGGAAATACAGCCTCATGGCCTAGCCCCCAAAGTTCACTGCCCCTGCGACAGGGGAAATACGGCCTCCTGGCCTAGTCCAAAGTTCACTGCCCCGGCAATAGGGGAAATACGGCCTCCCAGCCTAGTCCAAAGTTCACTGCCCTGGTACTAGGGGAAAATATGGCCTCCCAGCCTAGTCCAAAATTCACTGCCCCGGTACTAGGGGAAATACGGCCTCCCAGCTTAGTCCATAATTTGCAGGCCCAGAGGCCTAGTCCAAAGTTCGTTATCCCAGCCCCCACTCGCCGGGGTCTCGGGCAGCAGGGGTAGGGGGGCCCGGGCCCCCCCTCTCCACCGGGCCCCGACCCAGGGCCTTAGTAGTGGCGGGTGGCTCCCCCCCGCAACGCGCCGAGCCCTCAGGGGCTTCTACAGCTCCCTGCCCTGGGTCACTCCCTGCCCCGGCGCGGCGCGGTCCCACCTGTCGGCGTCAGGCGGGTGGCTGTACTGGTACTTCCCTGGCCACGTCAGGGTTGGCAGGGTCCGGTCCGGCGCTCGGGTCACGTGGGGTCGGTCGGCAGCTCCGGCGTTCAGCCCTCTTGGCGACTCCCTCTCTGGCGCTAGCTCCAGCTTGGGCCGCAGTCTGTCTCTTCTGAGCAGGCCAGCAGCCTTTTGTACCTGGGCTCCCCTTGGAGCATGCCCAGTAGGGCTGTGTGGGTGGGGCCCTCTCCGCCCCCGGCACCAGGTGGTTTCCCTGGGTTTGAGTGCGGGGCGGGGCCGCCCGTCACAAACCCCTTCTCCCACTTCGGCATGTACCATTCCCCTAGGCAACACCGTCCCCTACCAAGTCAATCACCTTTTCTTTGCTCACCATGAAAGAAAGAAATTTGCTCGAAAAAGAAAACGATTGCAACGGACCATTCAGTTCCACGAGATGAACGTTACAGATGTCTCATTCTGCGGTGATCTGGTCTCCTCTGACACCTGCGATGGCTGCTGCCTGTTTCAAGGTCCTCCATTGTGAAGGTAGGAGTGCTGCTGACTGTTAAATGAGAAGTTAAATGTGGGCTGGAGACTGCATTTTCCTACAGCACATTGCTAGAGATCTTGGGCTTGATTCTTCTCTCCCTTTGTTATCTGCATTGTGGCAGTACATAAACAACAGCACCGAATGTGGAGATGTGCCGCCCACTTAGGGGATGCAGCACACAGAGTCATTTTAGTCACCTTTGTGCCTTCCTGTTTTGGGGGGAAAGGGGTTGCTGTGCCCCAAGGTGCAACTTAGCTAAAATTCTAGCAGCCCATCCCACACTGCGTATATGTAACTGTTCTACTCAGAAATTTCCACAGTTATGTGCTGCAACCTTGCCTCTTCTGGTTACTGGCGAGCTCATCCTACCCCTGGTGGTGTCCCCTGAGCTAGGTCCTGTCTACGGTCACTATCCACAATATTTCTCTGGGGGGAAGTTTTCCTTTGCCAGTTAAAAGACTTTCTCATTCATTTTACACAATCACTACCCACTTGCAATTTGTTACCTAAGTGACACTCACTTTGCACAGGCGTAAATGACTTACACAAGTTGCAGGCCAATGGAAAAAATCAAGCCCTTTTTGTATATACAAGATGTGGCAGGGAGCTACCAAGGCCTCATGGAAGGCAGATATGTGGGCCGCTGGGTATGTTCCCTGAGTAGGCTGTTAAAGATTCTGGCCCAGCCAGCCACACCTGAAGCCTGAAGGGAAGGCAAATTAGAACACGTGCAGCCACTTAAGGTGGATGCACGCACTATAAAAATACTCCCCAGGCAAGGCTAAGGGGGAAGGAGAAAAGGGATGGACTAGAAGAGAACACAAGGAGAAAGGAGCAGCCCAGAGCAAGAAAACACACCTGAGTGAGCTGATATGAAGGTTTGCTCTGTGATATCAGGAATGAGGGATTGCAGAAGGGGTGGGTGAAGTGGCCCAGGGAGGGGCTGCTCTTCAGGGTCAAGGGCCAAGCTACACGGCCTGCTTGGTGCTGCCCCCTCCTATAGGGTCCTGAGCCAGAATCTGGAGCAAGTGGGGGGAATAGGTTCCCCCCACCCCCTTTCTGGTTGGAAGGGCCAGCAGGGACTGGAGAAAGAAGGACACTGGACTGACCAATGATGAAAGAGGCTCTGGTAGCAGGGCACCCTTGCCTTTGTGACAGCAATTAGGGACACTGCAAGACTCTGAGAAGAGCGGGACCCACAGGGCCTAGCACAGACTCTGCCACAAAGAGAATCCAGGGAGCGCAGACAATCGGCTCGTTTCTGCTGGATTTCTTACATCCCATCAACATTTCTTCTGGTGGGCTACGTCTACACTGGCACGAATTTCCAAAAATGCTTTTAACGGAAAAGTTTTCCGTTAAAAGCATTTTCGGAAAAGAGCATCTAGATTGGCAGGATGCTTTTCCGCAAAAGCACTTTTTGTGGAAAAGCGTCCATGGCCAATCTAGACGCGCTTTTCTGCAAAAAAGCCCCGATCGCCTTTTTCGCTTTTGGGGCTTTTTTGCGGAAAACAGAACCATGCTGTCTACACTGGCCCTTTTGCGCAAAAGTCTTTCGGAAAAAGTCTTTTGCCCAAACGGGAGCAGCATAGTTTTTCCAGAAAAGCACTGATGATTTTACATGAGATCGTCAGTGCTTTTCTGGAAATTGAAGCGGCCAGTGTAGACAGCTGGCAAGTTTTTCCGGAAAAGCAGATGATTTTCTGGAAAAACTTGGCAGTCTAGACACAGCCTCGGTGTAAGAATCTCACACGCAAGTGGTAACCTGGGTCTTTGCGCTCTGCTCTTTTGCTGGTAACTGCAATGTGTGTTCCTGGTTTAAGATCATGACCGAGTGAATCTGATTCCTGTTCAGCTTGCAGCAATTATTTTTCAAATCCACACCGTGTAAAGGGTGTCATTTTCTTTTACCTCCCTGCAAAATTCGTCAAATGCAAATTTTGTCAGCTTCTCTTTGGGTGTGAAATTTTCCCACACAGCTCCTGCTTATCTATAGAAAGCTGTAACTGGAAAGATATCTTTTTGAAAAAAAAATGCTGTGTATAGGGACTTACATGAGAGATGTAGGGCTCTTTAGATTAACAGGAGTGCTGTAAGCAAGACATGAGGTGTAATGCTTCCATGCCACTCAGCACTGATAAGCCCTCAACAGGAGTACTGTGTCCTGTTCTGGGCACTACATATTAGAAAAAGATGTGGACAATTTGGAGAAAGTCCAGAGGAGAGCGAACACCATGATTAAAAAATGACCTATAAGGAATGATTGAAAAAATTGGGTTGTTTCTTCTGGAGAAGAGAACACTAAGGGGACGGAGCATTAATCAAGTACATAAAAAGTTGTTATAAAAGTAGAGGATTATAAAATCTTTTCCTTAACCTCTGAGCACAACCCAAAAAGCACTGGGCTTAAATAACAGCAAAGAAGATTTAGGTTAGACATTGGGGAAAACTTCCTAACTATTAGGGTAGTTAAAGCACTAGAACAAATTACGTAGGGTGGTTGTGGAATTGCTGAGATTGTAGGTTTTTCAGAGCACGCCAGACAAACACGTGCCAGAAATGGTCTAGATAATATTTAGTCCTGCTTCAGTGGAGGGACTGGACTAGATGACCTATCAAAGTCCCTTCTAATCCTACCTTTCTGTGATTTCCAATTCTGCTCGTTGGGTCAGAAATTCAATTATTATAAATAGTGGTTTTCTAATTTATATTATACTGAATTAAAAACTAATTCTTTGGAAACCATTTAGGAGAAAAGAAACTGAATCAAGATCATCCAAGCACCACAAAAATCTCTAGATAAAAGGTCACTTTTAGCTGTCCTCTGATAATTGCAAGTGTGATCTGGCATTATGGTCATCACTGGCTAAAGGCGTTGCTATAGCTACCGATGCCAACAAGCCTAAAGGAGGAGTTCGTAATCAAATAGAGAATATAAACCCAACTATCACTGTGACTGTAAGAATGGACAGGGAAAAAAATAGGCCATTATTTACAGAAAGTCTTAGATTTAGAAAGGCTTGGCACACAAATGTAGCACACACCACTCATTTGGTGGTTGGTACGGTTCTGAAAAGAAGGTCTTTATTTTAGAGAAGGATGTAGTTCTTCAGTGTATGTTTTTCTGCAAGAACAATATGTGTGTGACTTTGCCTGAAAGAGTGAATCCACAATGCTTTGTTTTTGCTGGTTTAAGAGATTTACCTGGGGAGCCACAGTCTAAGCAGATATCCCCGGAGACATAGTCCTGTTGTTGGACTCTCTGCATTCTAAGTTTTTCTCACAGCAGACTGTGGGGTACCTCCTGGAATCTATTGAAACGCTGAGTCATGGGGTCAAATTAACACACTCCTAAATCCATTTCTTAGTACCCCATAATTCATGCAGTTTTCGTGATCCAGCATCATTTGCAAATTGCTGCCAGGCAGCCTGAAGAAAGCACTGCTGAGCATCCCAAGAGCCATTAATATGCACAAAGGCCAGGTTATTAATTCGTGTGTCCCTTTGCAAGCTGTCCTTACACTGGAGGGTGTTAACCCGATCCATTATGAAAAGGTCCTTGTTGCCAGAAAGATGTGCAGAATAGTAGGTGGTGAAAAAGAAAGGAAACACCAACACCTCTTGTGAGCAGCCTCAAAATTCTGTTTTGAACACCTGCTAGGCAGTGCAAAGTGCACTGCAAAATAATTAGACTTTTTCAGTAACCGCTGTAATGTCGTTAACAATAGTTAGGGGCTGACTGACAGGAGCTAGAGCGTTCTGTAACTGGTGCAGCCATGAAAGCCATATAATCTTTATGCATTTTGAAATATCCCTGTATGCCAATTTGTGTAATTTGTCTCCGAGTCCAGCATGCATTTAGAGATGTAATGGTAGCTAAAAGCTCAGGTCACTGATCAAACTGTGATCCAAAGCAGATCTTCTGTTGTTTGCTGCTTCTATATCTGCTGCAACAATAACACATGATTGGGCTTTTTAAACCCCCATGCTGTTGCCATTGCCATCTTGAGTGTGTGTGTGTGTGGGGGGGGCACCCTCCCCCCAGTAAACCAGGAAGGAGCTGGAACATGAAGCAGCATGGATGGGGATAGGAGAGCATCACATTTGGTCCAGGGTTGTGAAATGTCACATTACAGGAAATAAACCCTTCTGAGAACACCATTTTGAACACCGGAGGAGGGTAGTTCGGGAGAAAAGGGTGAAAAAAGTGAACAGGCAGAGAGAGGCATTTCTATCTATCCTCTCACATCACGGGTGCTGGAACAATGTTATATAAAGGGGGTACTGAGAGCTATTGAACCAAACTTTAAAGCCTGTAAGTAATGGAAACCACTTCAAGCCAGGGGGTGCTGCAGCCCCGCTCTCCTGCCCACTTAGTTTCAGCACCCGTGCCTAGCCTCCAGCTGATAACCAAGACCAAGTGTTTAAATCCCCCTATGAAAGCAGTACCTGGACAGTTTTTGGGACAAAACACAGAATACTTACTGGTTGATGTTCCCTCCATTGTTACCTTAGCTCAGGTGTCACTGGGACCCACACACCTAGGGTGTGTCTACATAGCACTTTTACCTCAAAATAGCTTATTTCAAAATTTGGCGCTGGCTACACAGCACCAAATTTCGAAATAAAGCACTATTTTGACAAATCCCTTAACCCTCGTGGAACGAGGGTTACAGAGATGCTGGAAAAATGTGCCTGTTATTAAATATATTTCAAAATAACAGGTGCATTTAAAGATGTGGAATAGCTATTTCAGGATACTTGAGGTATCCCAAAATAGCTCTGCTGTGTAGACATAGCCCTAGTGTGGTTCACTGCCCCAGGTAGTGGCGCTTATACCACTTAGAGTGAGAGATAAGAACAAGGGAGCTCTACAGTGAAAGCTAAACACCAGCTGGCTTTATAGCGCAAACGGTAGAGGCTCTTATACTGAGGTCCCAGGTTCAGATCTGCACAGTGGTGGTTACATCCTCTCTGTCTCTGTGTGGGTCTTCAG